GTGTAGTGGTGAATGTTTGGTTCTATTTCTTTTGATGAAACAGGAATTGTTGGGTACTTCTGGAACACTTCTTGAAATTTCTTTCCACAAAGCGGCTATTTGTTGTACGGCTATGCACCGAGGTGCTGCTTTAGCTGCAATGTCATACTTGTCAGGTAAGTTTGCAGTTGTTTACGATGAGAACGGCATTGAATTTTATTCGTAAGCATACTTTATTTACACAAATGTTTTTGATATCTACAGGTTTCTTGGAGGTTTCGCTTTCTTCCATGATTGAAAGTGTGAACTGTATATCGGAAGGATCTTTCAGTGTGGTCTCTGTCCAGGTTGTATCTCACTGTGGAGAGGGACTTTTGTCTAATCTGGTCTATGCTCTACTTGGAGTTGCAGCTATGTCAAGGGTAATTAATTTGAGTAAAATCTCTCAAAAAGTAGTTGATGGATTGGGTCCTTTGATTTGCATTTTCGGTTCTGTTTTCTTTTTTAGGTCCACAAGTGTTCGACAATACTTCAACAATTAGCTGCAATCTGCAGTTTATGTGAGAGGACTTCATGGAAAGGAATGTTGTGTTGGAAATCACTCCAAGGATGGCTAAACTCAGCGGTTTCTCTCTTTCTCTCGTGATCGCATTTATACCCAACTCCGCCTCTGTTCTTTTTTTTGTTTGTTCCAATGGCATGTTTTTGTTTTGGTTTTTAGGTGTGGGCACTCCCGAGCGAGTATCTAAAGCAAGGAGAAGCAGAAAGCATAGTGAGGGAATGGTCAGAAGCTCTAGGAGGCGCAGGGATCGATTACCTTGAGAACAAAAGCTGCAACTTTGGAAACAATAACAGTTCATCAGGAGGACATATGCAAGGGAAACATGGTCGAGCGTTGAAGCGATTAGTGAGAGATTTTGCGGATTCTCATCGAAACGATCCGAATCTAAACATCATATGAATCAATCAATCATCTCTTAAAAGGGTTCATTTGATTTTGTTGCCTTAACGATGAGGGCAATGCAACTTCTTTTCTGCCAATTCTATGTTTCTGATGTACAGTAGGAGAAAGAAGCCTCATGAAGAAAATCTCAAGGCATTTCTTTTAGATTTGATTTTTTTTTGTCGTCCACTTATATTAAACCGAAAGAAGCCCATCGGGCTAATACAAAGAGAAGTTCAAGGCCCAATTTACAAACCCAACAAGAAATAAAAGCTATATGAACCACACTCTTACAACACATATCTATATAGGGTTCAACGCAGCGACGAACACAAAAGCGACCACATCTTCGCCGCCATACGCCACCGCCAAACCAGACCGTAGAACATATCTTCGTAGAAACTCTTCTACAGGATGGATCCATGCTACACGAACAGAAAACCGCAATCCTCCGTAAACTTCACCATCGATCATCACAAACCATGACCACACCACCGCTACTGCCTTAGTTGAAGGCTTCAAATCGGGGAGTTTGGGGAGGGATACTCCTAGACATGACGGATAATACCAAAAAAAAGAGGAACGAGGTTCTGAACCGCAACATAGAACCATGGTTTCGACCTGTAAAACTACAGAAGAAACCAGAAACTGTAGAAAAAAACCAGATCCGGATGAAAGACAACCGAAAATTATTATCCGAACTAGTCGGAGGCCAAATCCGATTACCATCGGAAATTTACAACAAAAGATCCGCTTACTGGAAAGGAAAACAAATCCAATTCGACAAACGGAAACCTAGATCTACAACGATAAAAAAAAAACAGGAAGCAAATATTTACAATCCGAACCGGCGAGAACCGCCGGCCGGAAAAAGACCAGATCTGAATTTTTTTGTTTTATGCCTTCGTAAAGAGAGGTTAGAAAGAGAAAGTCATTCTCGAAGAAGAGAGATTTAGTTATATGGATAACTGACTTGATTCTTTTAGATTTGATAAAATCAAGAATAATAATATTTATATTAAATTTTATGACATCATTATCAATAAAACTAAGTAAGCGTTTCTAAAAAAAAAATTAATGTTTTAGTTATTTTTAAAAATTGATGCACTAAATTATTAACAAGTTCGTCTCATCCTATAAAAACTTTCACTTTTTCTCTTCTTCTGTTTCATCTTTTTATTAATATTTTAATGATATATATTATATTTTAATGCTAACGAAATCCACAACATTTGATTGTTAATGATGCTTACGAACCAAAAACGGCACGCAGTCTCACGAGACCTCGGTGTTGGGCCTTTTGAGTTAAGATAAAACCCATTAGCACTTGTTGTCAGTCAAAAAAAACAAAAAAAAGTCGCACATTAAAAAAAACGAAAATAAATTTCTCTTTGACCTGTGGCTTGCACGTGAGTTTCACGTGATTTGTTTTGAGGGTAGAATTTGGGAAAACCCTAGACGAATCACTTCTGGGAGGAGAAGCCGCCGGAGTCGCTGATAGAGAGAGAAAAGGTACTTTCGTTTTTGTTCCTTTTCCATTCCCATTTCGATTGAATCTGTTCATCGTAATCTTCTGATTGAATTTTATTTGAGAAGTTTCGATTTTTACTTGAGGTTCGATTTCGTAGTGTTGTAACCGAATTTCACCACGAGAAGATCAGAATCTTTTGGTACTCAAGTGTTTGGAACTTTGTTTGATTTTGTGTAGTTGGGTCGTTTTTGATCTCCCGTTCTTCGTCTTCGACTTCGAGAGACGGAAAAAATGGCAGAGGAGGCAGACACCAACATCGAGATTTGGAAGATCAAGAAACTAATCAAGGGACTCGAATCAGCAAGAGGTAATGGAACGAGTATGATCTCTCTTATTATGCCTCCTCGTGATCAGGTATCTCGTGTCACGAAGATGCTTGGTGATGAATATGGAACTGCTTCAAACATCAAGAGTCGTGTCAATCGTCAATCTGTCTTGTCTGCTATTACTTCTGCTCAACAGAGGTTAAAGCTCTACAACAAGGTCCCTACTAATGGGCTTGTTCTCTATACCGGCACTATTGTTAATGATGATGGGAAAGAGAAGAAAGTTACGTTTGATTTCGAGCCTTTTAGGCCAATTAACGCTTCCTTGTACCTCTGTGACAATAAGTTCCATACCGAGGCATTGAACGAGCTTCTAGAGTCTGACGACAAGTTTGGTTTCATTGTCATGGATGGTAATGGGACTCTGTTTGGAACTTTGAGTGGGAATACTAGAGAGGTTCTTCACAAGTTTACTGTTGATCTCCCGAAGAAGCACGGAAGAGGAGGGCAATCTGCGCTTCGTTTTGCTCGTCTTAGGATGGAGAAGAGACACAACTATGTCAGGAAAACCGCAGAGCTTGCTACACAGTTTTACATCAACCCAGCTACGAGTCAGCCCAATGTCGCTGGTCTGATTCTTGCTGGTTCAGCTGATTTCAAGACTGAGCTCAGTCAGTCAGAGCTGTTTGATCCTCGTCTTCAAGCCAAGATATTGAATGTAGTGGATGTTTCTTATGGTGGGGAAAACGGATTCAACCAAGCTATCGAGCTTTCTGCTGAGATTCTGTCTAACGTGAAGTTCATACAGGAGAAGAAACTGATTGGGAAGTACTTTGAGGAGATAAGTCAAGATACCGGGAAATATGTTTTCGGTGTGGACGATACTCTAAAGGCTCTAGAAATGGGTGCTATCGAAACCCTTATCGTGTGGGAGAATCTGGATATAAACAGGTACGAGCTAAAGAACAGCACGAGTGGTGAAATAGTTGTGAAACACTTTGGGAAAGATCAAGAGACTGATCAAAGCAACTTCCATGATTCAGAGACTAACGCGGAGCTAGAAGTCCAGGACAAGATGCCGCTGCTCGAATGGTTTGCAAACGAGTACAAACGTTTTGGCTGTACTCTTGAATTTGTTACTAACAAATCCCAAGAAGGGTCACAGTTTTGCAGAGGTTTCGGTGGGATTGGTGGTATGCTTCGTTACCAGCTCGACATGAGGACATTTGATGAGTTATCTGATGGTGAAGTTTATGAAGATGATGATTAGAGTGGGGAAAAACTTTTGATGCTCGTTTCTGATCGATACAGTTTGGGGAAATGTGGCATAAGATGGTCTTTTATCAACAAGGGGTGGAAAAAAAAGAGAAATTTAAGATTTTTTTTTTTTTGGTTTCCTATAGAACATCAAAAAGCTTGTCTCTTATCTTGAGTTTTTTTTCTTCTCCAACGGTTTAAATGTTATTTTTTTTCTGTGTGTTTTGGTAGACAATTTGTGTTGTAATTGAATTCTCTTTTGAGGTCTGAACATCTTTTTGATTCTAATTTTCTGGTTACATTTTCCCGAGCAAAGAGGATAAGTCTCAAAGTTCTCTAACTTTTCTTAAACGGCGTCGTTTTAGCATTTTTTTTTATTTTAGGGGTGAAAATAATATTTTAAAGAATTTGGAATTATCTAATCTTCTTCTCTCATCAGTGAGTGGAAGACGAAGAAGTAACGGAGGCGATTTCTAGGGTTGCTTCTGATCGACGATGGGCACGAGCAGCGATCCGGTTCAAGATGGTTCCGATGAGCAGCAGAAACGATCAGAGATCTACACATACGAAGCACCATGGCACATCTACGCGATGAATTGGAGCGTTCGTCGCGATAAGAAGTACCGTCTCGCCATCACCAGCCTCCTCGAGCAGTACCCGAACCGAGTCGAGATTGTTCAGCTCGATGAATCCAATGGCGAGATCCGTTCAGACTCAAATCTCGCCTTCGAGCATCCTTACCCACCAACCAAAACCATTTTCATCCCCGACAAGGAATGTCAGCGACCTGATCTTCTCGCTACCTCAAGCGATTTCCTTCGTTTATGGCGAATCGCCGATGATCACTCCCGTGTTGAGCTCAAATCTTGTCTCAATAGCAACAAAAACAGTGAGTTTTGTGGTCCTTTAACTTCATTTGACTGGAACGAAGCTGAGCCACGACGTATCGGTACCTCAAGCACTGATACGACTTGTACTATTTGGGATATTGAGCGTGAAGCTGTTGATACTCAGCTTATTGCACATGACAAGGAAGTTTTCGACATTGCTTGGGGTGGTGTTGGGGTTTTTGCTTCTGTTTCAGCTGATGGATCCGTTAGGGTTTTTGATCTTCGTGATAAGGAACATTCGACGATTATCTATGAGAGCTCTGAGCCAGATACTCCTTTGGTGCGTCTTGGTTGGAACAAGCAGGATCCTAGGTACATGGCTACTATTATCATGGACAGTGCTAAAGTCGTGGTGCTCGATATTCGTTTTCCGGCTCTTCCAGTTGTGGAGCTTCAACGGCATCAAGCTAGTGTCAATGCCATAGCTTGGGCTCCTCATAGCTCTTGTCACATTTGTACTGCAGGAGATGATTCACAAGCTTTGATTTGGGATATTTCTTCAATGGGACAACATGTTGAAGGTGGTCTTGATCCTATTCTTGCTTACACTGCTGGTGCTGAGATTGAGCAGCTTCAATGGTCTTCTTCTCAGCCTGATTGGGTCGCGATTGCTTTCTCAACGAAGCTGCAAATTCTCAGGGTTTGATTTGATTGATCCTTTTGAAAATTTTATCATCTCATTTTCACAATGGGGATATTGTATTAAGAGGTCTGTTTACTACTATCTTCAAGATGTATTAATCAATCTGCTTTGATCTCTTCTCAAAATCGGAAACTTGCATGACTCTTGTTGATTTATGATTGGCAAGAAAGGATGATCCTATGATCTTGAATTATGCTTCATCACTTTTTTTTATCTCTTGGCACAATACCGTGGATAGCTAGGCTTAGTTTTGTATTTGATTAGAGCAATGGATAGTTATAGAGTTAATTACACATCTCATTTTCTAAAGTTCTCCTGCATCTTTTGGAATAGCTATCTATAAAGCCAATGTGCAAGAAGTACATTAGAACAAGTATCTCATAGACCTGCAAGTAGGCAATGTATGAAGGTATGGCTCAACCGCAAAGACGGTCTTAGTTCTGAAACTTCATATCTTATAGTTCCGAATGAATCTCTATTCATGTCATAGGGCAGGGTGAAGGATCATCTTTTAGTCTTTACCTTTTTGGATCTTCTATTCTTTGTAAGATACAAGTTTTTATCTGTTTTATTCACTGAGATTAAGGTTTCGATATCAGCTTCAAGTGTTCTAATCGTCAAGTCTATTACATTTCAACAGCTTAATCATCAAACGAAAGGTGTGGATCGATCAATGCGCTACTTAAAAATCGGACCCTGAAAAATCTTAAGGAGAATGAGTTGAGTTTTATTCCACCATTTTTTATTTGCAGCGACTTGGAGAAAGGGAGTTCTTAAGGACCCCTGTGATGATATTTATCTGCAGAGCAAAGACATGCCAGAGTAAAAAATCTAACTGACTTTTGAGTGGTCCTAAAAAGGTCAGTCGCAAGATATATGCTTGTGTGCAACTGTGACCACATGATGAAGAAGAAGCCCACTTGTGAAGCCCAAAAACGAGAAGAAGAAAAAAAGATTTGAGTGAATCATAGAGAATGTGAAGATGGAAGAAGAGAGTGAGAAAGCACCACAACCATACAAATGAACGAGAAAGCTATCCAGAATCTCATCTTCTTTGCTTCCAACTCAGCAATTCCCTTTGCCTATATTACCAATCTCTGCTTCTACACTACTTTCTGTCCTCTTCTTTTATCTCCTGCTGCTTACATTTTACACATCTTCTCTCTGGTGGTAGCCATGGCTTCGGCTACTTTCTCTGTGGCCAAACCATCTCTTCAGGTTCTTTCTTTCTTCATCTTATTCCCCT